GCCAGCACATGGCACAGGACTGGGGTTCTGCTCTTGTTGGGACTCAGGGTTTTATGTGCTCACTCTTTATATGTGATTATAAAACATAAAAGCCAGAATGTACATTGAAAGTATAGAAAAAATAAATGGCACAAATGTTCACTTATGGAAATCAATCAAGATCTCTAAAGCAAAGGAGCCTGGTGGGTAGATGTGAGGGCTGGGGTGGAGTGGATAGCCCGGCATTTATCTAGTTCAGTGGCTGTCAATATATTTATCTTCGAAGTGGATTGTCCCTTTGAAGTGGTTGCCTTAGCAACCAAACTTAAGGGAGTAGCATTACAAAAAAGAAAACCAACAGTGTTTATACTAGAATTAAATTCACGAGGTTGATTATAATTTATGAATTAAAATGTATTATAGAATATTTTCTCATCACATTAATTATCTTTTCATAATCATGTAGTAAAGTGCAACAAAGTAGGTATTTAACAAATGGTTTTTGAATAAAATAATGGCACATAATTGTGTGTCTTCACTGAGCACTCTAATATGCAGTTATAATGAGAATCTTGGACTGTTTCTTTGATCAACAACTTACCAAACAGCTTGAAATGGCAAAAGCAAAATATAGAACATCTCCAACTGAAACTGAAGAATCTCAGGGAAAAATAAAAAAACAAGTGGTTGATGAATGGTCATGCAGAAATAGAAACAGAGTGCCTATGAGAGAGGAAAAGATAGACAAAGAGAACACTGCAAAAAAATTATTTTCTAAACATGTATAAGAAATTCTGAGTTTCTTGCCATTGATGAATCTAAGATTTGTAGAACCTGCCTGATTTTGAAATTATCCTTAGATAAAATGACCAGGAACAACTTTTATATAGAAATAACACTGTATTTTATGTATTCTAAGACGCACATTCTTCACATTTTAAGATCTCTGAAATTGGAATGCTGTTTACAATCAGTGTGTCTTTGATTTGATGCAACTGGGCACTCACTTCTGCACATCAGAACTGAAGTCTAGAAAGTGTAGGTTCCCAACTTACTTGAGGTTTTAATTTATAAGGTTATCTATGAGGAAAATATGCTAAAGGGCCCTAATAACACTAAGGTGTTTAAGCTACACAAGCAAATACTCACCTATTTTGAAAATTACACTAGGGGTGCCTCCGTGGCTCAGTGGGTTAAGCCTCTGCCTTCGGCTCGGGTCATGATCTCAGGGTCCTGGGATCCAGGCCCTCATCGGGCTCTCTGCTCAGCAGGGAGCCTGCTTCCTCCCCCTCCCCCAACTGCCTGCTTCTCTGCCTACTTGTGATCTCTCTCTCTGTGTCAAATAAATTTAAAAAATAGTAAAAGAAAAAAAGAAAATTACACTAATTTGCTCACATAACTCCAGTATCACAAAGGAATATTCTTTTTGCCTGATTCTCAGACCTAATACATCTAGGAAATAATGGCCCTTTTTGTCCTTTTAATTTTATACAGTGTATCACACCTTGCAGTGTTTTCCCCAAATCTCTCATAATTGGCTAATATCCAATAGAAAAACAAAACAATAAAAAATAATAATTTTAAAAATCCTTAAACTATTATCCCCTGGTCAAGTTTATATGCATTCCATATGTCTTTGCTGTTTCTTCTTGTAAAGGAAGAGTGTTTTAGTATCTTAAAAGTGGATTCTTTTGCTTTTCCAGAAGTTTTCTCAGTCTTCCATTGAGTGCCTTTCTGAGGGACTGCCCTGACAGCAGATTATGCTGAAGTTCTGTGTAGTCTAGCTCCAGGAAATCTGCGTAACCATGGGGTTAACCATTTCTTGTTTGACAATTACATTTAGACTACCGTTCCTAATCTCTGACGCTATGATATTTGGGCTGGGTAGTTATTTTGGGGAGGATTGTAGAGTGTGCTGTACTGTGCATTGTAGAGTGCATCCTGTAGAATGGGTGGGCAGCATCCCTAATCTTTACCCAGTAGATGATGATAACAGACCTCCCAGGTTGCAAAAACCAAAAATGTTTCCGGATATTGCTGAATGTCTTCTGGTGGCCAAATTTTTCCCAGTTGGGAACCATTGTTTTAGGAGGCCCAGAGTTAGGCTTTCATTCTTCCAGGAACATGTGGGAATACTCACGGTGACCATAAAGTCCTCCCATCCCTACTGACATTTTTGTAGCTTCATCTTGCTTTTGTCTTATTTTATCAAGGAGGTCAGAAACAACCTGAAATATAAATTGTACTGAGTGTGACATGCCTGTACAATAAATCATGAGAATTGATAATCTTTAAATCCATTTTATTATCCCTCTTCCTATTAACATACACTCAAAGCATTCACTTTGTACTACCTATCTTCACACTGGGAAAATATGAGCTTCCATTTCTAACAATTAATAAAGGATGTCAACATGTGTTGTGTGCTATAGCCCTCAGTGCCCATGGTTACATCTGTGATGTTATTCAGGCACAGAGGCACTTAGCTCCCTGATCTGAGATAGAATTGTGGAAACAGATGCAATGCTGAATGTGAAAGCTAAAATGTAGCCAAATAGTACTATCCTGGGGTATAAAAGATAAGGTGACTACCAGCTTTGATTTCCTGTATGTGTGGGAATTGAGTAAAATAATCTCTCAGAGCCTCAATCTCTTCAATGGAAAAAATAGGAAGAATGATTTATAAAATTAGTTATTGTGAGAATCAAAATAGAAAGTGTGCCTAAAATTGCCCAGAAGTATATTTTGTATATGTTAGCATTTCAAATGCAATGCTTATATCTGAAAGTTTTTCATTAATTGTGAGATGATATCCCCTTACAGGCTGATTATTATTCTTAAGCGTTTGTTATTGATGGAAGTTGTTGCTTTATTTACCTGAGGATAAAAGTGTAGGAGATTACAACTGGTGTGGTTGGTAGAGAGGACTTTGGTCGATGAGTGGGGATAAGAAAATGTAAGAAACATTTTCTGTGATTCACAAGGTTTTTAAGTCACATTAGGAGGAGAATGTGGACTATTAGTCACCCATCAAACCCAAGACAAAAAATTCCTCCTTAATCCCATATTTTTCCTACTTTCAAAATCTGTGAGCATCTGTGCTATGCCTATTTTTGAAATAAACTAGTTAAGAAAGTTATATCCCATATGAATGCAGTATTTCTGAACTCTTCAACAAACAATTCCCTTTATAAAACATGGCCTCATTTCCATATCCATTTGTTAACAGTTATTTGTTGGAGGCATATTCTGTGCCGGAATTATCCTAGATATTAAGCACAGAGACATAAAGAAAACAGATATGTCTTTCCCCCTACTAATAGCACACTCTAAAAAGTAGAAATAAAAAACCTATAAGATACATCTGTAATTGCAAATCATAATAATAAGTAAAATGAAGAATAAAGAATAAATAAGCAATAAAAAGATTTTTTAAAAGGAGGGTCATACTTTGAACTGTGAGAGCTCAGGTAATCTACTATGAAATTATGTTGAAACTTTAAAAATGAATAATAAAGAGTTAAAAGAAATTGAAGAGAAGATCATCTAAGAATAAGGGTCAGATGTGAAAACCTAAAAGAAACAGAAATATTTGTAAATTCAACAAATTTTCAAATGCCACTGTACCTGTAGTTTATCTGATAATATTGGAGAGAGAGAGAGGGCCAAGGACATGTGTAGATTTTTAGTACGTACTTAGAGTTTTAATTCGAATCCCAAAGAAGTTAGAGTACATATTTAAAAGACGTAGTGTATCATTCAAATTTTCGTTTAAAAAGAGAACTTTCATCTTACATAGAAAACCATTTAGAAAGCAGCAAAAGTAACCATTTAGAGACCATGGAGGTTATTGCAATGATTCGCTAAAGACATGCTAGTGACGCATTAGGGGGATTATAAAGGAGATAGTGAGGAGATGAATTATGATATAATTTGGGTCTAGAATCAAAAGAATTTAGTACAGATAGATTGAATATAGGATTAAAAATACATTTCTGTATTTTTAAGATGAGCTACCATATCACATCTTGATTGGAATTTATAGAGAGATGACATTTGATATTTTCATTTTTTCTTAACTGGGATGGAGACCTGAGAAAATATACTTCCTATATTTTTGTTTTATGTCCTTGTTTAGTATCCAGTTTGAATAAGATAAATCTGGGATGATAATAACAAGAAAAATACATTGATGATTATTTGTGGCAAATACTAGGTTTCCTCAACTCACCTTTAAACTCTTATCCAAGATATTCCCAAGATATGTTTTCTATAATATATGACTATTATATCTGCTTCTGACATAATTTTGCTAGAACTCTTCACTCTAATTTGCCTGGTTTTCACACAGTACACAATAAGATTTGTCACTGGAGGAACAAGTGAAAAAACATTAGCTATGAGAACATTGAAGAGAGGTGAGTTGGCAGGGGATAGAACTAAAGGTAGTTTGTGAAATCATACTTCTGTGCAAGTTCCAAGAGGTAGGATGAAATTGAGTTGTGAGATTCCTTTGCCTTCACAGTGTCATTCTAGAAATCATATTCTACACCACATCTTATCTAGGATGAAAAAACAAGGATTAATTAAAAAATGCACATTAATTGATTACAGTTTACTAATATTTTACAAGGAAAATGAAATTAGATTAATATCTGAATGCAAAATATATTTTTAGTTTCTCTCTAGGAAAAACATGGTCAAAAGGAATTTTCTTCATCTATTATATAGGTAGATATTAGTCTAAATAGACATCCATTTCTTACTATATGTTAGTCCCATAAATATTGTATTCTGCTGAAAAAGAACTAAAAGAGCCTAAATTTCAACAACTGCATTATTTGGTCCTTGAACTTGAAATATTTTAAAGATAATTCAAATCATAGAATCAACAATGGGACAAGATCAAATGCTCCAGAATATAATTTGGCAGCACCAAATTTAGACAGAAAAAAAAAACTCAAATGAGACCTCATTTTCCCTGCTAGGTCAAAATTCTTGGTAAACAGAGGCAAGAGTACCTACTTTTTAGCAAAGACACGGAGCACTTGCTCTCGAATCTGTTTGGTCCTTACACCATAAATGATGGGGTTGAGTGAAGGTGGGATAACCAAATAGAGGTTGGCAACAAGAATGTTAATGTAGCGTGGTATGTTGTGTCCAAATCGGTGAGTGAGGAAGGAGAACACTGAGGGGATATAGAAAACACAGATGACACCAACGTGAGAGCCACACGTGCTGAGCGCTTTTAGCCGAGCATCCTGTGATGGGAGGCGGAAGACAGCTCACAGAATGTAGACATAGGAGATGCAAATAAGAACCAGGTTCAGCAGAACGAGAGAGAGCACAAAGATCCCATAGATGGCATTGATATGGTTGTTTCCACAGGACAGTTTTGCGATGCCCATGTGCTCACAGTAGGAATGAGCTGTTACATAAGCCTGACAAAATGGTAGGCAGTAAATGAGATACACCATGGGAAGTGTAAATAGAATTGGACAAAACACAATGCATACACTGATACCCACCAACACCAGGGTTGTCAAGATCGTTCTATAGTGGAGTGGAGCACAGATAGCCACATAGCGGTCAAAGGCCATGGCCACCAGGACCTCAGACTCCATGCCAGTGAAGGCATGGATCAAAAACATCTGGGCCACACAAGCCCCAAAGCTAATCTCATGAGCATCAAACCAGAAGATACCCAGAATGCGGGGCACAGAGGTTGAGGAAAGGACCAAATCGATAGTTGAAAGGAGGGCCAGGAAGTAGAACATGGGCTCCTTCTGCAGGCTCTGCTCCATCCTGATGACCAGCAGAATTGTGGCATTGCCCAGTAAAGCCACAAGGTAAACTGAGCAGAAAGGCAGGGAGATCCAGGAATGGGCCCCTTCCAGACCCGGAATTCCAGTGAGGAAGAATGTGGTTGGATGAAAAGTACTCCTGTTGGGATAAAACATCCTTCCAAATAACAGAGAAGGAGATGTCATTCCTACAAAGAGGGGGAAAAGTTTGAAGGTGGTCATGAAAATGACTAGCTTAATGACCCGATATATAGTGAAAATGAAAAAGATTGCTATTTGAAAGGGCTTGTTAATGTATTTTGTTATTATAAGCCAAGGAATACTCATTTTGAATGGGCCACTCTCAAAAGAATTCAATCCTCTTTTTTTTTTTTTAATCTTCTTTCTTTTAACTTACAAGGCTTATCAGCAAGCCAATGGCAAAATTATAAGACACAGAATGTGCTATTAAATATGAAATAATTTTGTATGCTCTGTACCTTTTGTAAAGCTCCTGTCTGAAGAGAGATATGCAAAAAATCAAGGATGCCCACATGGAAATGCAGTTACAATCCAAGAGGTGACAGACTAGCTAGAAGCAACGTGACAGGCACAGATGTACAAGACACTTCCGTTATTAGGAAATGCAGAATTTATCTAATGATTCATTCATCATTTATTGACATAGAGAAAATGCCAAGATCTGGCCAAACATTCTATCAAAGATAAGCAGAATATCAGAAGTACATTGCTACAATCAAAAGCACAGGCTAGGTCATACACCTCTATACTTGAAACATCCCAGAAAGAAAGTTAGTGATAAACCGTATGTCTATTTTTGTTCATGTCTCTATGTTCCCAAGACCAACCCATTGCATAGCCCATTGCCTTACATAGTGTTAAGGGAGTGGTGGTTTCTAGCAGTATTTGAAAGCTTCTTTATTTATTCTCCATGCCATATCAGTTTGTCTGGGAAAACCTGCCAAGTTACGACTGCTAAAGAATGAACATGTACTGTGTTCACTCCTTCTGCCTGATGAACTAGGAATGTGGGTAAAAGACTGCCTAGAAGGCTTCAGGGGGCAGGGACCTGAAGATGGCATTTTGAGCAGCACAAAACTGTCTGGAAAATAAAGTCTCTATAGAACTGCTCTCTGTAGTTGTTTAAAGGGCACAGAGAAGGTGGCTTTTGCAATGCCTTCAAAATGATGAAGGACCTAGTCACTCATAAGCTCAAATAATGAAATAAATGGACATTCTCTAGGTCTCCACCTCGAGACAGAGGTGGAGAGGTCAGAAATAGTAGCACAGGCTCCAGTTTTTATGCGTTATATAGCTTCATATTTCTCTGGGAAGCATAACAAGGTAAAAATAATGTTATATGCATTCTAAGATTAGACGTGTGTGTGTTTGTGGAGGGGAGAGAAGAGCTATATTTTGCAATGCCTCCCTTATCTTTGTTTTTTTTTTTTTTTTTAAAGAACTGAAACTCCAGTAACAGCCGCTGTCCAGTAGTGGGATGCTACCCAGGAATAGGCCTTCTAAGACTCAGATGTCTGCCTTGGGTTTCTCTCTGAAAATAAACTCTCAATAACATGGCACTGCTCACCTCAGGTTTCCTCTATGTTTTGGAGGTCCATCTCATTCATTCCTTATAACCCATAGCAGAAACAGAAATGATACTTTATTGACCAACTATATAATCATAATGCCTTGGATCTTCTAGACATTTTCAAAGACACCCAATCTCCATTTAAAATTTGAAAAGTTGCAAGGTTAAACTTAAAACAGTAAAAAAAACAAAAAAAAAAAACAAAAGACCCACAAAACACCAAAAAACTACTATGAAAAAAGTTTTCAGTTTAAAAAAAAAAAAAAAAAATATATATATATATATATATATATATATATATATATATTGCAAGTTTCTTCCCCAATTAGATTCAGAAATTGGGCCACATGATGCATAGAATATCATATCACAACAAGCCAGTAGCTCTTCTCAGCTACCTTTGACCATCTCCCTTTCATTTGACTGCAGTACATACTGAAATCAAAATAAAATTCATCTTTGATTTTGATGATCCATTCCTCCACAGGAATAGAGACAACAAGGAAAATCTCAAGTAGCACAGCTCTGTGTGCTTTAAAAAAAAAAAAATACAGTCTAAGGAGAGTCATTTTATACTGAGGCTTTAGCTGCTTATAAAATTAGAACTCAGTTTTCTAGTATAAATTGTGCCCTGGGATTGAATCCTCTGAGAATGTGGGCAAAACTCCTAGACTATGGTTTAGAGAAACAGAAGCCAATGAAAAAGTGGCATGAGTAGGAATTTATAGAGACAAACTACAAATGTGGGGCAAAAACACACAAATGTTATCATTACTATATGATATAAAAATAGATACATCTTATCTCCCCCTAAGTAATATTTTGCAGCCTAATTCTATGGATTGTTTCTTAGATCAAAGTGTACTTAATCCATATTCTAATTTCAAAAATAATAGCCTGGTGTAGGAGATCCCATTTTCAACCTGAGTACTTGCTATCTCCCTGCACTGTCCTGACCACGTGTCCTAGGTTCATTGAATGCTTGCCTATGGAATGACATCTGTGAGTTTTTGGTCCCACTATCCTTTGTCCATGATTGATCTTCTCAATCTTCCTCCTTGACAGTTTATCATATCTATGTCACAGAAGCCACAGAGAGAAGTGTTGAATATATCCTATCCTAGAGTTGGTCTGATTCAGTTCAGATACTGGATTTCCCACTCATACGATTTGAAAGAGTTTGTACTGTTATGAGATATTAATTACTCTTTACACATAGGATAGAGTTCACCAGGGAACATACGTGGGCCTAAGACTTTCATTATAGGAAGTATTTGATTACTAAATTCAACTACAAATGTCTACTCAACTTCTATTTTTCATTTTCAGTTACCTTTAAAGACATTTTGAGATAAATAAAAACTAACAGATTCCTTTGCCAGCCAATTGGCACAATAAGAAATGCCAAAGGATTACTACCAGCTGATGGAAAATGTCCAAAGCTTTTAAATGGCTGTAAATGAAGAAATGAGGATCTTTGGAAATGTCGAATAATCATGTTATCTACTTCAAATATCAAATGAGCTTTGTGCACAAAAATTGTTATTATACTACTTTGAATTATTGCAAAAAAAATAGGTACTTAAATGCACAGAAGATTTCATTCACTCAAAGATATTACACTTTCACAAAGATATTACACTTTCACAAAGATATTACACTTTCACTAAAATCACAAGTACATTAGGCATCTACACATAATGTATACACTTTCATCTATAGGTGTACATGAACTATACAAAATAATATATGATAGAATTTCAATGAACAGGTCAAAAATATGAAACAACATATTTTGAAACAGCAAAACAATGTCAAAATGTGTGGGGGGTCATTGGAATACAGACAACATTATTGCCTCTCATTCTAATTTATGGAGTTTGAAATGTTTAAGTAATGAGACCATACAACAATTTAACAACAAAAACTATCATAAATGAATATTAACTGAAAAAAATTACTCCACTCAGATCAGACCTATTGTCAAATACAATATCTTAGAAAAGTTGGTTTCCCAAGCTTTTAAAAAATGTTACAGTTTCTGCTGTCAAGATTGCAGTCTATGTAACTATTGTCATTACCCCAGAAAGCTTCAGATATATTAAAACTGATCTTAAAACTAAGTGATATATAAGTTAAAACTAAGTGATATATATATATGTGTGTGTGTGTGTGTGTATATATATATATATATATATATATATATATATATATATATATATCTTCAAAGTCAATAGAAACCGTCATTAAAGGATAAGAGAGAGCAGTCTAGCATATACTTGAAAACACAAGGGGTCGTTAGATTTCAAAGACAGGGAAGGGATGTGAAGGTTTCTGTCTTGAGGTTTTCAGAAAAGCCAGAGGCAAAAAGCACCAAAAGGCAAATTCCTAAAGAATTAGGTGGTTTCATAGTAGTGTCTCTGCCACATGAAACTCCTACCCTGGGTGCTGCAGTGTGTCATCTATATCCTCCTTACAGATCTGAAGTTCTCAATCATCTAACTACTGAGAATGTGGCCCCCTTTGTTTCTATTGTCTAATGGACCTTCCTCAGCTGAGGTCAAATCCCCCTCCCAGAGAGCCCCCATAATGCCTGGTTGATGAAGGAGCATAAAGCTTACTGGATTCACCACAATGAGGACAATAATGAAGGGCCACTCAAGCTCCAACACTCCTGTGTAAACTTCTGGCTGACACTTTTGTTCATATTTCATTACAAATCATTTTCTCCCTCTTTCTTCATTCACCTCTCCCCGGTGCTGATCTTGGGAGCAAAGCCGTTATTAGTTTTCTAATGCCGCTGTGATAAATTACTGGGAATGTAGTGCCTTAAATCAATGTAAATTTATTATCTTGCAGTTCAGTTTGTTAGAAAGCTGATGCATATCTCACTGAGATAAAATCGAGTTTTCAGCTGGTCTGCATCTGTTTCTGGAGACACTAGAGGAGAATGTTTTTTGGGTTTTGTTTGTTTGTTTTTTTACTTTTTCCCACCTTCTATAGGCTACCTACATTCCTTAACTCATGGCTCTCTTCTCCATTTTCAGAGCCAGGGATGAAGTTTTAAGTCCTACACATATGATATTGCTCCTACTTTGCTTCAAACATGTAAATGCACCCCAATGTTCATAGCAATATTATCAACCATAGCCAACTTATGGAAAGAGCCCAAATACCCATGAGCAGATAAATGGATAAAGGAATAGTGGTACATGTATGCAATGGAATATTACTCAGCCATAAAAAACAATGAGATTTTTGCCATTTGCAATGACCTGGAAGAAGCTAGAATGTAGAATGCTAAGCAAAATATGTCAGTCTGAAAAAGAAAAACATCATATGATTTCACTCATATGTGGAATTTTTTTTCTCTTATTTATTTAAATTTTAATTTATTTTTTATTTTTATTTTTTATAAACATATATTTTTATCCCCACGGGTACAGGTCTGTGAATCGCCAGGTTTACACACTTCAAAGCATTCACTATAGCACATACCCTCCCCAATGTCCATAACCCCACTGCCCTCTCCCAAACCCTCTCCCACCAGCAACCCTCAGTTTGTTTTGTG